AAATCCAGGAAGGCTCACAGTCGCCTTTCACCCTTCCCTATTCTGTTGTCTTGTACAAACTGTGAACACCTCCTGAAAGATAACCCGTGTCCTAAACAGAAATTACAGCAGAATCACTAAAGCATGGAGTTACTGATTGTGGATGACTGGTATTTCAGGATAAGGTATTTCCTAAAAAGCATCTCCTTAGGGTGGTAGTACACCTTGTCCCATGCAATTAGGGAGAAAATTTCTCTTGTAGATCACTGTGCTCTTTAGAAAGTCAACACATACACAACTTAAAACATTATTTACTGAGAAACACACGTGACAACAGCTGCCTTGCAGAATAAGCAGGAAACACGTATGGGTTCAGACATAAAATCCATTATCCTTGCTAACAAAGGGATGAAGAAAACTATGGCATTTTACTCGCCCATCTCAGAGAAGCAGTAAACAAGTCTCTGGAAAAGTCATTAAGCAGAAGCGCAGAGGGCTGGGAACGTTGAGCAACTGCGCGAGGTTATTTACCTGTTTCGGTGTCTCCGTGGTGTGAATTACAATAACAGCAGTCCATGAAGATAACGTAGTTCAATACATTGAAGATCAGACCTGCAATCCCGACAAAAAGAACGAGCTGTGCATTCTCAGTCTTCTGAGGATTGATAAACCTCTTGATTGCCTCAATGAAGATGCTAAACATCAGGGCAGTGGCAAAAACAGAGTTGCCAAAAGCTCCCAGTACATCTGCCCGGCTGAAGCCGAAAGTGTTAGCCTTGTGCCACCTGATGCGACTGAACCTAACCCCGAACAGACCGATGATCATGGAGATCAAGTGGGAGAGAACAGCAAAGGCATCTGACGCTAAGGAAAGAGAATTGCCAATGTAGGCTACTGAGACCTCAACACCAAAAAGCACAACGCTCACCACACACATCAAGATGAGCCTGCTGCTCCTGCCCGAGTAGCGGCCCATTGAAAAAAAAAACTCTGAGGTTCTGCCAGACAGAGGTGTGCGAGGAGCAAAACTCGCTGCCTGGGATTTTTACCCTTCACCTGTCAGGGCTGCTCACATGTGGGAGCCACTTTTATAGGAAGCAGTAAAGCAATAAATCAGTTTAAAGGGCAGTTTAGCAAGATTCGTCATGTGAAGGCAGCCCGAAAGGCTCCAGTCCTGTAAGGGCTCCACCCTTAGGAAGCTTGTTTTTTTTTCCTGCAAAAACAAAAATAAACCAAGAGAGACTACCAGCAGCACCAGCACTTGCTACTCTACTCGATGCCACTGTTCTAAAAAATGGAATAAGGCCCATACAGGAGAGCATAAGAAGGTGGCTAGAGAAGGCATTTCTTTTGCATAAAACTTTCCTCCAATGTCTGTTTCAGCCATTTCTGTTGCCAGTAACTTTAGCACTGAGAAAATACCACATTTGAAATCCACATTGGGTTGACGTTATTTTTAAGAACACATTAAATGTGAACTATCTGCGAGGATAGTTGAACACGTTGTCCATGGAGCAAGTTTCAAAGACAACTGAATTGATCTTCCATTTTAGCAACCTAGCGTTCTCAACTGCTTGTACTTTTGGCATGTTTTAATGTTGCCCATGGATCTGGAGCAAAGTTGGAGACCATTTTCTAAATATGTGACCAGTAGACGGGGAAGCTGAGCTTTAACAATAAACCCAGAGCACATGGTGTATTTCCCATTTAGAAAACCCTGCCCATCTTAAAACCCCAAAGTAATCCTCAACCTGTTGCAAGCTGTTGAGCTCTTGAGTGTACTCAGAGGAGTTTAGGTACGCTCACAAACCCTGGTGAAGGAAATTACCTGCTAACAGCACACTAAGCAATCTGGATGATAAGACCAGGTGCCTTCCTTGAAAAGTTTATAATTATAATCCAGTTTTTGTTTGAAATGACCATCTGTGTACATATATTCACACAGTTAGTTACAAGATAAAACGGAAGGAAATTACATGCAGTACAGCCAGAGAGATAAGATTGATAACCTGAGCTGACCAACTGTCCCTGCTGGCCTCAGACTTCCCGAGGTGAATTAACTTTAGGTCAAAAATGCAAACACCCCTGATTTTCATTTATTCTTGTGCTCACAGGGTTTCAACAACCACAATATTTATGTTTAAAGTCCAGTTTGTTACCAGCCTTACCTGTCAACAGATGCATTTTTTAACATTTAGTCATTTGTTTGCCTACACACTGCAGCTCTTGAGATTTCCCCCATCCCCACCTTTTAAGAACACCAGTAACCCTAGTAGGTGAATTAAGGAAACTAATTACAACATTGCAACTGATACTTAACTCTTCTTCCTCTTCATCCTCTCCATCATCTCCCACCTGCGTTACTACTTCTATTCCAGCTATTTCTATGATGTTTTCTTTCTTCTTGTATTAATGTTCAACTACTTAATTATTATCTGAACTACAGAGCATGAAAAGTGAGAATTTTTTCAAGTTATTCTCCTTTCAACAGGAACACACCAAGGTAAAACTTCAGAGCTCTTAACAGTTCTGCCTTACACAAAGTTTCAATTCCCAAAACATGAGATTGAGCTAAATGAAGCATTCCCTTTGCAACAGAGCTAAAATGCTCAGATGTGGTCTCTTTTGTCAATAACCAGCAGCACCACATTAAGGCAGTTCCACTACATCCCACCTTACTATGCTATTTAACCCATACTTATCAGTATACAACTATAAAAACTAAGGAACACTAAGAGCTTTGCAGTTCTAATATAAACACAGAGCAGTGTAATTCAATCAACTGTAGTGTGTTACTCTGATTCATATACTCATTTTCCAAGAGACACAATTTATTAAGATTCTGAAACTTTTTAATACCAGCATAATTAAGAGTATGGATGTTTGTATAATGCTTTACAGATAGCTCAGATTGTGCTTCTGGCGGAAGGATACTCAAGATAGACATGTTTCTCCAAGGCAGGCGTTGGCCTCTCTTCTCTCAAAGATCACCACAGAGAGATCTGCAGGTGAGGCACCCACATTCCATACGCTTCAAGCCCTACTACGATCAGGAAGAAACATTCTTGGGAAAAGAATTAAAACAAACAAACAAACAAAAAGGGCTGCACTTCTGTGAAACCTCTGGCTTCAAGCTCATCTGTAGGTTAAAAGTAACTCATTTCTAAGAAGTGCTGTCAACATGTTTACTCATGAATTTGATCCAGTCAACTGGTTGAAGGTTAGCTGTTTATTCAAACTGATAAGGCGGCAGCACTGATAGAGACTGCATTTAGTTTTGCCTTATCCTTTGTTCTGCACTGACCTATTAACAGCTTCCATAACTAATTTTTAAAATACTGGTGTTGTAGAGTATTTCGATGGGAGCTAAAGTGCTCACCTATTCTTAATAATCTCTCCTGCTCTGTCAAAAAATCTTAGTGCTCTCCTGTCTCGTACGCCTGAGGACATTGAAGCTGCTGGTTACCGCATCCCCCTTCCCCCAACATGAGTGCTCTGCAGCAGGCAATACCTCTGAAGACTAGTCTTAGTTACCCGTCGTTTGAGGCCAGGAAAACATCCTTCTGGTCTTACTGCTTATGCTATTCCTCAAAGTATAATTCTAGTCAGTGTTAGAGACAGCATACCAGGACAGAAAGATCTTAGGGCTGCTCTTCTGATATGTCAACTAAAAATGAAAGATGAATGAATGCACTGACATATCATTCCCCAAATCCTTTGACACTACTACCCCCGAGACTCTGTCTATATAGCGAGAAAATACCTAGACAGACAAATGCTAGATAGATGATTTTAAGATGCAACTGCAGCAAACCCTTCAGGACTAATCGTCACCTAAGGAATATTGCAAAGAATATCCAATCAAACATTCCGAGCAAGCTTATCTGAAATATTTAATAATTTTTGCACTTTTCTCTGAAAAACCGGGGTACTATGACAAGATGCACGATCCTAAATGCGGCAGGCCACTGGTTCAATTTAATATTCAAAATCTTGATTAGGAAGGGTGACCACAGGAATCTGGGTCACGCAGGCTTTTGAAAAGCAGAGATGTGTGAAGTTCTAGCTAAGTCTCCTGTATGCTTAAAACTTTTGGACTACTGATGATAGATAAAAATAGGGTTTTGGAAATAGGCAGCCATGTAATACTGTCACAGGAAGAGTCTGGGGAGGATCTTACTGCTCCAACTTCTTTACTGCCAAGTTTTCACTCAAATCGTCTCAGGGAAAG